GTGCAGATCTTCAGGGCTGTGCTGAGGATCCCCTCTGAGCAGGGACGGCACAAAGCCTTTTCCACCTGTCTCCCTCACCTGGCTGTGGTCTTCCTGTTCCTCAGCACTGGTATATTTTCTGACCTGAAGCCCTCCTCCATCTCCTCCCCATACCTGGATCTGTCACTGTCAGTCCTGTACTCGGTGGTGCCTCCAGCCCTGAACCCCCTCATCTACAGCCTGAGGAACCAGGAGCTCAAGGCTGCAGTGAGGACACTGATGACTGGAGGCTTTCAGGAGCATTAAACTGCTGGCTAATTTCTGAAAATGGCTTCTAATAAAAGTCATCTTTGATACTTCTTCTTGGTTTGGTGTGTGGGTTTTTTTCCCTTTGTTTTAGTTTTTTAATCTTTTCCACAGAAAAATGTCATGTTTTGTGCCATTTCTCATTTTGTTTCTCTCCACCTTCCCAGTGGCCACAGACTGTGTCTTTGGCGGGCTACACTCTCGGTGGCTTTAAAGAAAATGAAGGATCTCCCAGCAGAGTTTTCTGCAGAGATGCCCTTTTGTTGCCTTCTCTGGAGCTGCAGCAGCAATGTCTGTGTGCAGAGCTGGGGCAGATCAGTGCTGGCCCAGCAGCTGTGCCCAGCAGCAGCAGCAGCACTTGGTGTTCCAGTGCTGCTGCCGTGGCCCTGCCCCGCTGCCCTGGTGGCCCTGGTGTTGCTGCAGGGCCTGAGTGCTCTCGGGGCCGGGCACAGTCCTGGGGGTGGCAGTGCCGGGGCTGCAGCAGGGACAGGCCATGTAATATAAATCATTTGTGTCGTTGGCCATCCCCAGCCCAATAATAATTAACAGTGAGTCCATGATTCTAAAAGGCTGATCAATCACTTTGTTATATTATCTTATACTATACTGTACTTCTTAAGAAACTTATCTCCTTACAAACAGTCCAATACAGCATTGACCTAATTGGTCAATGAATTTAAAACACTATTACTAGTGTCTAATTAAGAAAACACCATTTTGTAAACAAATCTCTATAACACATTTTACATGTATAAACAACAAGTATAACAATAAAAATAAAAATAGTTTCTTCTTCTTTTCTCCAATCTTCTCACAGCCTTCCTTAACAAAATACCTAAGAAGGTCATATCTGCTGCTCTCTATAGAGAGAGCTGTGGCTCTCTCTTTTGTTCCCTTCTCCAGAGCTGCAGCAGCAATGTCTGTGTGCAGAGCCGGGGGCAGATCAGTGCTGGCAGAACTGCCCTGCTCCTGCTGGCCACACCATTCCTGATCCAGGCCAGGAGCCATTGGCCTTCTTGGCCACCTGGGCACACTGCTGCCTCATGTCCAGCCTGCTGTCCATCAGTGCCCCAGGTCCCTTTCTGCCTGGCTGCTCTCCAGCCACTCTGTCCCCAGCCTGTGGTGCTGCAGGGGTTGTTGTGGCCAAAGTGCAGGACCTGGCACTTGGACTTGTTAAACCTCACCTTGTTGGATTTGTTCCCTGGATCCAGCCTTTCCAGGGCCCTGTGCAAAGCCCTCCTACCCTCCAGCAGATCCACACTTGCTGTCATCATGTTTCCATGAGGCCCCAGAGTGTGGCAATGTTCTCCAAGATTCCATGAGGCCTCCCAGTGTCACAAGTCCCTTTGGTTCCATGGACCCCTTGGTTTCAGAAAGTCTCTTGGATCCTTGGGCCCCGCAGTGTCACAATGGCACCGTGGTTCCCCAAGGCCCTGCAGTGTCACAGTGGATCCTTGGTTCCATGAGGTCTCACAGTGCAGCAATTCTCTCCTTGGTTCCACAGTATCACAATGGCCTCTTGGTCCCAAGGGCCACCACGGTGTCAAACATGTTTCCTTCACTCCAGGAGTCCCTGAGGAGCAGCACTGGCCCCTTGGTTCCAAGGGGCCCCGCAGTTTCACAATGGCCCCATCATAACACCAGGTCCTGCTCTGTCACAATGCTCTGCATGGTTCCACAAGGCCCTGCAGGGTCACAGTGGCCTCTTGGTTCCAGGAGGCCTCAGAGTGCCACAAGGAATTCCTTGGTGCTGCAGTGTCACAGTGGAGCCCTGGTGACACAAGATCCTGCAGTGTCACCAAGGACCCTTGGCTCCATGGGGCACCACAGTGTCACAATTTTCCCTCAGTTTCCAGAGTCCTTGCAATGGAGCAATGGCCCCTTGATTCCATTGTCCCCCGGCTCTCCCAAGGGTCTCCTTGGTTCTGCAGTGGCACAATGGTCCCTTGGTTCAACAAGGCTTTGCAGTGTCACAATCATCAGAGAATCAACCAGGCTGGAAAAGACCCTGGGGAGCATCAAGTCCAGCCTGGGCCCAACACCACCTTGTCACCCAGACCATGGCACCGAGTGCCACATTCAGTCTTTCCTTAAACACTTCCAGGGACGGTGACTCACCCACCTCCCTGTGCAGCCCATTCCAATGCTCAATCACCCTTAGTGTGAAGAATATTTCCTAATGTCCAGCCTAAACATCCCCTGGTGCAGCTGAAGGCTGTGTCCTCTTCTCCTGTCGATGGTTCCTTGGAAAAGAGCCCAACCCCTCCCTGGCAGCACACTCCTGTCAGGGAGTTGTAGAGAGTGATGAGGTCTCCCCTGAGCCCCCTCTTCTCCAGGATAAACAACCCCAGCTCTCTCAGCCGTTCCTCACAGGACTTGTGCTCCAGACCCCTCACCAGCCTTGTTGCCTTTCTCTGGACACGCTCCAGCCCCTCCATGTCCCTCCTAAATTGGGGGACCCAGAACTGGAGGGGGGGGCAAAGTGTTCTTGATTACCAGCCATGAAGGGTCTTGATTTTCATATCTATTCAGACTGCATTAGAAGGTGCTGGGGGTCAATATCCGATGTTGCTGGGATGTCATAAGGAACTTAGGGAAGGGTTTTGATGTTTCTTAAATTTTATCATGTGCACATTTTTTATATGTGCCATGAACAGAAACCTTTCTGTGCCTCTGAGTCTCACCAGTTCCTGGTCCCCCAAAGGACACAAATCTGATGAGTTGTGGTTCCTACTCCAGTGGCTGCACTTGGACTTCCCTCCACAGCCAGAGCAGAGCTCCCTTATCCCAGAAAGTGCCTGGCAAAGGAGGGACGAAGGAAATTTATTCATGTACTCTGAGTTGGACTCCTTGGAGAAATACCAATAAGAGAATCCCAGGAGCTCAAAAGAAGAAAAAAACCTTTACTGGGAATTTTAGAAAATCAGAGACACTTGGGCAAAACTTTTAATAGGACATTCAATCAACACAAAACACTTCTCAAAGCATTGACTTGGCCCATTCAACTACACAAACTCTAAGCCTGTTCAATTTAAGTTACTCAAAATTTGCAAGAATACATATATAAAGCAAGTAGACACAGAGAGAAAGACAAAAAAAGGTACAGAGAAGCACACACTCAGCTACCAACTCCTTTGGTGTGCCTGGGACTGGCAGACACTGCTGGGCTGGGATAGAGGCTCTGGGGGGATTGGGGTTCCAGGGCAGGGCAGTGCTGGGGTTCCAGGGCAGGGCAAGGCTGGACCTGCCCCTTCTTCCCCCACACACAAAATGCTTCCAGACAACAATCTCCTCCAGTCTGTCACAACAGGGAATGTGGGAGGTGAAATCCCAATTCTGGCCATGGGCACCTGGCCAAGAAGGACAGTTCTTTTCCATAGGAAGGCAAGCACAGAGCCCCAGTGTTTAGAATGCAGGTGAGAGCCTCAGTAAGCCAAGGCCAGCCAGAATTGTCAGTAATGGCAGATTTTTCTGGGAGCAGTCTTTAGATTTAGGCAATTTTGGAGGTGGACGCCCAATCTCGGCCATGGGTGCCTGGAGAACCAGGACAGTTCTTTTCCATAGGAAGGAGTGCACGGAGCCTTTCCCAGTGTTTTAGGAACAGATGGGAAGTTACCTGTGTGAAACCACTGCCAGCCAGACTTATCCTGGCAATATTCCTATTGGAACAATCCCTAGATGCAACAAATTTGGCTATGAAATTCCAATTGTGTCCATGCATGCCTGGAGGAAGAAGAGAGTTCTTTTCCATAGGAAGGAAAGCCCAGAGCTCCATTGTTTGAATAGCAGATGAGAAGTGGCCCTCAACCTGCCAAGGTCAGCTGTCAGGCAGCCCCTGGGAGGCCAATCCAGACAGAACCAATCCATGTTCCCTTGGTTCCACAGGACCCTGAAGTGCCACAGTGGTCTCCATGGTTCCCCAGGCTCCACAATGTCATGTGTCTCCTCTGTTTCATGAGCCCAGCAATGTCACAATGGACCTTTGGACCCTGGGGGTTTGCAGTGTCACAATGGTCTCCTTTGGCTCCCCAGTGTGACAATGGACCACTGATGACATGAGGCCCCACAATGTCACAATGGAGCTTTGGTTCCATGCAGCCCTGCAGTGTCACAAAGACCTCTTGGTTTCACGAGGCCCCACAGTATCACAATGGTCCTCTTGGTTCTGTGGGGACCCCCAGGGTCACAATGGTGTCACTGGTGCCATGAGTCCCCTCAGAGTCACAATGCTTTGCTTATTCCATGGGGCCTCACAGTGTCACAATGGTCTCCTTGGTTTGATGGGGCCTCTCAGTGTCATAATGAACCCTACATTCCATGGAGCCAAAGAGAGTCAATAGTCACCCCTTGGTTCCATGCGGCCCAGCAATGTCACAGTGCTCTCCATGATTCCATGAGACCCCAAAGTGTCACGGTGGATCCTTGGTCTCACAGGGCCCCAC